TAGATTCTATTTTGCAAAATCATACATGGGAGCTAGTAGAGCTTCCTCCAGAAAGTAAACCACTAGGCGTAAACGAATTTTAGACCGAAAGGAGCAAAATTAGCCTTTTAAGAGTGTCCACATTTTGCTTCATTTTTATTTTTAAATCGACTTTTCATTTTGGGAAATTGGTGAAACTCCTATGGTAATTGCCATGAAGTGAATGGTAAGTTATATATTCCAAGTCTATATATATCTCGAATTTTTCCAGTTTTCAACACACGAATTTCATCTGAAAAATTCATCTGCATACGATTCGAGTTTGTCTTCGTTTTTCAGTTTCTGTTTCAATCTTTGTGGTGATATTGTTTGGGCACTAGCTCAGTTCACCGGAGTAAAATCTGTGGTTCTCAAATTCTACTATTCTACCGTTGTATCCTGGGAAGCAAACGTTCAAATTATACCTCAAGCACGTACGGTGAGGAAACGAATCTGTTTTAAGGAAACTGTGTGCAACACAGATCTTGGGTTAAAAATTTATTACTGTTTAATTTTTTTTTTTTTTTGCTTGTTATTTCTTACTGTAATTAATAAATCATTGGATTTGTTAGATATATAAGTTCATCTGTTATAATATCCAAAAAAATGTATGTGTAAATACGGTGATTAAGCATATACAGTATTTAAATTGCGAATTCGGTATCAAGTGTGTAAAACCGATATCTATTATGTATATATGGTATCCAAGCTGTAAATACGGTAACTCTCGCATATACGGTATCAAGTACTGAAACACTTGTCTAACATAATCTTCAGCACATCTACTTTCTCATCTATACGACTGTAGTGAATGCTCATGGATGGTCGAGATGAAAGACAACACTCCTGTATTATCATAGTATCACTTTCTCAAGTAATAGAGAAAGGACTAAAACATGCAATGTAATATCATCTCTTTATGAAGAAAGTCTTTGCGAGATATAGAAGGGTTTTGATGTCAGAGTTAAAGAAAATTAGAGCAGACCGTTAGGCTTCTCAATCATATTTATTGAATCAACTCAACTGCGCATTAGCAGGAAAGAGCACTAGACAAGTCAAAGTCATACCATCAAGAGCCAAAACCAATGCACTCCCACTTAACATATCATCAAGACTTTCGCTACCTACACACAACATCCAGTTTTCTATCGTCTGCCATCATCCAGCAGCAAGAATCATATCCATTCGAGCCATATCATTGAAAAACGAGCAACACCAATGTGATGAAACCTCAATAGACTTCATTACAAGATGAGTAGTTTTTCATGGTCCAAATTGGACTCCAGTTGTTAGAAACCTTACCCCCCACTTCGAAAATCAAAGGTACCAAAGAAAATGCCATTTTATAACTATAAGCAAAATGTATAACATTTATCCGGGAAAATAAATGCGATAAGAATTGCATTTGATTGCTGTGCTTTAAGGGAAAAATCATCTATAGCTACCATAATCTGAATCATTAACTAATAAAATGTAATTGTAAAATACTAAATTGAGTTAAGTTGGTGAAGGGGTGATAAAGAATTTTTATGTCACAAATAATACAAAAACCTGTAGGAAGGGGAAAAAAGTTGAGATGAACACTTGAAATATCATAAACTTCCACCTTTACTGGGTTCGGGATATTCTTAATTCACAATCATGATGTAAAAGCCCCTATCTCTTCTTGGCCACTAGCAGCGAGGAGGCGATAGATCATCCAACCAATCGCCATAAATTCCATTGACCCTCCTGTTTAACTTCCACTTTTTTGAGTTATTCTCATCTGCTTCGTTCTTTCCTTTAGGGACATCAATCACCTTAGTTGGAGGAGATGAATCGATAACAGAAGCAGATAGAGGCTTTGCTGGAATCTGAAGAGAATTCAGTTTCGGTTCTGGCTCTGCATGAGCACCAGGCCGTTGCAACTCTGTCAAAAATGTAAGCGCTTTGGTTGAGAAACTGATAAAATGAAAATTTATCTAAGATACTGGTGTTTAATGGAACAATATCCAAATATATATATGATACCAACACTTTAGTAATATACAGAAAATGAACCGTAACTCGTGATAACAATAAATCAACAACATGGTCACAACAACAAAGAGCTTCATTTTATCTTGAAAACACCTTTGCCGGTTTGCCCCACATAACTCATCCACTAATTCTTCAATAATAGGAAAAGGCCAACTGTTACAGAATTAGAGAAGCAATACAGGAGATTAGCTAATCTAAAAGTGTGTACATTTTTTGTAGGCCCACCTAAAACTTGCACTGCGGTAACTCTGTGAATCCCAAATGTCTGGCTAAGCTCAAAAGCTAATTCTATATTATTCATTTGGCAACATGTTTAAGCCTTTTTTAGAAGTTACTTGTTAATCACGCTTGCTTCCATCACCCGGAATCTTATCCGTTCTTACCAAGCGAATCTAGGATTAATTAAGACAATAAATAGAGTAAAAAATTTTGCTACATGGCTTTGAATATACCTGACGGGCCATGAGCGTAACAACATCTTTCTCCAAATGGGCATTGACCTCTCGCCCATTTAGTGCATATTATTGTCTTCCAGGAAACAGTCTTCGGCCGGGAAGCATCCAAGACGGAGTCAACATGCTTATTAGACTCGGGTTGATGAGAAACACTTCTGTTCACATTAAACAACCCTGTGGTTCCGATGCTTATTGCAGAACTTATCCTCTGCCTCGAAATATCAGTCTCTATCGGTGGATATTCATGAAGAAAGTTGCAGTTCTCTCCATATGGACACTCTTCTCCATTGTAAAACTTCCTGCAAATTTTCAATCCATGTACCATTCTCTGCTCATCGCTCCAGTTCCCCACCCCTTTATCTTTTTTTTGAACAAGTTCCTTCCAATTAGGAGGGGGTTTTCGTACATCTTCAACACCATGGGCAAATGTACAACGCTCCCCATTAAAGCAGGTGCCTTCCAAAAATTTCATGCACATTCGCGTCTTATAGAATATATGGGTTACTCCTTTACTTCCCGGATGATTTGATGGGTTCAACTTCGGATTTAAGGAAGGCACAGAATTTGGCATGTTATCTGAAGACATCTTTGGTCTCTTGAATGGAGGAGGATGCTCATATGAAGAAATTGATGAGTCGGGCCGTGGATGGTTCACTGGGGGTGGAGGGAAAATCCCTCCGCCATCTCCACCTGTAGAGCCCATAAACGGGGGATTCGGTAGTGGATGATCGGGAAATTTCATTCTGATATTGTGCAAGTACCTATAATTTGTTCTTCCTTATTTTTCAGAAGAAAAAGCAATGAAGACAGATTATTCCCCAGAAACAGCAAGAAAAATGGCAGATCAAAAAACCCTGAAATCACAATTCCAAAATGAACAAATTTTACATTGTAAATTAAAATGTAAAACCACAAAATATTCACAAAACGAAAACCCTGGTACGCAAAACATTCGTTGTAAATTCGTAATTTCGAATGATTATAAAACATCAACCATTAAACAAATCAATTCATAATTACATTCATGTAAATAAATTTTCAAGTATAACACATTCAATCAACAAAGTCAAAACCAGTTATGATAATAATTCAACATAAAATCATATATATCTTCAAGATACTAAAATACATTGAGGCTATGAAAAAGAGAAAACCTCATTCGGGCTGCTGACGAGGTCACTTTTCCGGTGTTATCAACAAAACCCAGATAAAATCTTGTCCCAAAAATGGATTTTTTTTATAGAAATCAAAATTGAAGGTTTGGTACTCAAAAAAATAAAAATTTGAATAAAAGTTAAGGTTTGGGATATGACTCATGGAAAGGGTGATTGAAGTTGATAAATTTTTCGTGCATGAATATAATACTTTAATAGTACTATTCTGATTAGTATATATTGCTCTAGAGAAATCCTAGAATGATTTGGAAACAATTACAAGTGAATTTTAACCCTAAAATCTCAGTTACTAAAACCTCCTAAATAGGTATTCTCGACGCACATGAAACTGGGCCTAATTCTCTGGCTTGGTTATTAAAAATATGGAAAAATTCATACATAAGAAGTTAAGTATGATCCATTTCAAAACTAAGAACAAATGTTTCAAATTTTAAATTTCATTTTTTAATTAAAATTTATTTATGATTTAATTAATTAATTATATAATTAATTTATTAAATATATTAATGTCACAAATCTATATAATTTGGTCACAAATTAACGATTTAATTAGTCACATATTATTTTTTAGTTATAAATCAGAAATTTTATAGGTCATAATTTATTCATCGATTACAAATCAAAAATTTATACATCACAATTTATTTATCATCACAAATCACAAATATTATAAGTCACCACTTAGTAGACGTCACAAATTGTCAAATTATCGATCACAAATAAAAAGTTTTTTAGATCACATTATTTTTTGGTCACAATTTATCTTTTTTGTTGGTCACACATTGTTTATTGGTCACATATTAACGAATTTAATGGTCATATTCAATTAAATAATTTGTGATCACAACCAACACTTGTGACTGTCACCGCACCACTCCCTTCAGTAGCACCATCGCCATCTTCGCTGCCAAAACTATCACCACCACCTCCCGACAGCAACACCACAACCTCAAACAAATCAATAAATAGTAGAAAAACACCACAATATCGTCACGTCGTTCTGCCACTACCTTGACAGAACCATCGCCACCGCCCCCTCACCACTGCAGCCAACAACACAACCATCATGAATTTACAAATTTATAGGTCACAATTACTCAAATAATTGGTCACATACACTCTTCACCACTACCACCACCAACTACACCTCCACAACCACCATCATTATCATTTGTAAACTGGCTCCCAATTTGAAACTGCAAGCAGGAGCCTATAATTTCAAAAATTACACTAGGGGTCCCCACCCTCAAATCGTTACCCAATTTTCCCCGTTGTCTCTACGGCCATCGGCATCGTGTCGCTTTGTTGTCGCCGGGCAACGCTGTCGGGAAACTCTATAGTTCACAGCGCTAGGAAACTCTACTGTTACCATCGTTGAGCAACTCTACCGTTCGAAGCCCCTGGACTCTAGCGCTTGCAGTGCTGCTGTCAACACCAATTCCGGCTGCTGCAAAGTTGTGTTGCAACATACAGTGGAGCTTTTGCGATGCATCATCGCGATGCTGCTTAGTCGACACCGTCACATGCAGGAGGCGTCATCGTCGTTACGTAGCAGTGCTGTGACACAGCCCCGTGCGCAACGGTGTGAGTATCGCTGTGAGTGCTGCTCGGTCGTGATTTTCCATTGGCGGTCTTTTGACGACGATAAAAATGGAGAAAAAAAGGAATAGAGGTAATCCGCCAGTGTGAGAGAAAGGGAAGATGGAAGAGGAAGAAAGAGAAAGAAAATGTTAAGATTTGGATTAAATTTGGTAATTAGGGATT